CATTCACATCAGAGCCAATATTCCCAGAAGGCAGTTCACCTACCAGGATGTCTTTGGACTGCGGGAGGAAACCCACACAAACACAGATAGAACGCCAGGTCCGGATCTCAACCCTGGGGCCCAGCCCTGTGAGGCTGCAATGTTAACCAAGGCTCCACTGTGCCATCCATGTCTCTTCATGTTATTTCTACAATACAAAGAACAGCTTGCAAACAAAAAAGGTGGAGAGCCAATCCAGAAAACTGCCATAAAACACTAGCCTGTTTGAACCCGGGCCTTGATGTGCAGTGTGAGGTGTCACTATGACCCCCAAAAATATTAATAACAACCATAATTAATTACATTCATGCAGTTTGTGCAGCTCCTTGTTTTTCATCTTTATGAATTGTAGCACCACTACACAAGAAGTATAAATTATTATGATTAGAAGCAGTAGCCCCACAGTATTTGTAAATTGAACACAATTCCCTTTTACTTTGTTACCATTGATAAAACGCACGGGATCTGTGTATTTCCCATGGCTATGATGACATTTCCTGGTTGTTGATGACAAAGGCCCAAGACGCTCGCACTACAATGTCGAGTTCAGTAGCCCATAACCACTGGGGTTCTCCAGGTACCTGTGCTGACCTCCCTACAGTATCTCCCCACCAGCCAGCTCAACAGTTGAGTGTAGCCTCGTGTCAGAAGCCAATTTGCGACTGATTTGTTTTGAACATCATAAATAAAAGATAAGAGGCAAGAGTGTCTCCCCTAATGACAGTGTAAGCTGGAGTGGAGTTCTGGCACCGGCAGCTAAATGGATTTTATTCAGAGCTGCTGAGGCTAATGCTGTTTTTAATTAATTTCGGAAATTAACCTCAAATTGCAAGATGTGTTCTATAAAGTGCAACAAAATGTCACCTTGGGGCTATAAATGAATGAAATCCCACAGCTTAAAACCTCCCATATGGTATTTTTCATCTGTGAGGAAGGGAAGCAGTTTACATCCGAGGCTACGGTTTGCATTTTTCCAAAAACTGTGAGCTTCACAGGGCTGATTTGCAATCCTGATCATATTAAACACCCCTGTTGTCTTGCTTTAATCCTATTTCAGGGAGAGCCAGACTGTTGTTTCAGGGTGCAGATTTTCAGGTTTGTGAGATTCATACAGGGGGCTTCCTGCTCAGGGCACCCTTTACAAGAGCTTGTACGCTTTCAGACCCGGCCTCCAGCTGGAAGATGTTAGCCTTCAGCTGTATTTATTACAACCGATAAAGCTTTTCCAAAAGAGCTGCCATGATACTATTGCTTAAAAATGCTGTGTCTATACAGAAGTGCCATAACATAGCACTTTAGAATAAAGAATCCTAACATTGCTTCCACGATCATATTTGTAATTAGTACTGCTAGTATCACCAGTGATATATTACTTTAAAATGGACAATAGTATTGTTGTGCAAATAATTTAAGAAAGGACCACATGTTTCACTTCTCCCTCCGTTCCACATATCATACTGTGCCGGAAATGATTTCAGACCAAAAGCACAGATTTTCAATGGAATTTTTTTAGACTGGCCTAAGCTACTTGTGGACATCTGCTTTCCTTAGCTCAGTTATTTTATCACAGATGGCAGTCAGATGCAGGACAGCCTATCACAACCTGCCACGTTGAGTCAATATTTCCACCACAGGTTTGCCTGAATTTGAGCATTCAAAGCTCACGTAAAACCAAGCACACACGGTAGTCAACATGAACGAACTCTGAAGAACATTTTTATCATGCGGAGCGTGATTGATGTTAGAAAATCCTCTCATCAGAAAAGCAGGTAGACAGGAGAGCGGTCTGCTTTGTAGGGGTACAGAATGTGATGCGCATTGAGTACATCCTGTTTAAAAGGAAGATAGGTGGAGACAAGATACTGTAGAAGTTCTTGTCTGAACTACATTACCCAGAAACGTGATGGGAAATGACCCGTTATCCTTGGTCACTTGACCAATTCAAGGCCGACAATTAGTTTGGTGTCAATTAAAAACCAGGAGGTGGAGGCTTTCAGTGGCCGTGGGATCACTGTCAGTGAAGAGAAACTATATGCCACACCAAAGGAAGACATAAGTGACTTACTGATGGGGCTGTAAACTGTTTGTTGTGGGTTTTGGATTAAAAGTATGGATCTGACAAAGGCAGGGAGTGGAGCTGCCCAGATATACAGTATCTACAGAAGACTTGCGAGGATGTTAGAACTTGAAGAGGTACATTAGTAGTGTTTTACAGTAAATGTACTTTTAGTTTTATACTACTGTGCAAATAAAAAGCGTTGTTTCACCTTTTTACATTTAGACCCATCTGGGTAAAATATACCTGAGCCAACACCATAACCCTGGGGAAGTCTTAGTTGCTATTGTTTTGTTCTATGTGTTTTGCTTCCTGTTCCAGTACAGTATGGAATGAAAAGCAGCATTTAGACCTCAGGTTGTTGTGCTGCTCTGACCCACTGGCTACTGACATGCTCTCTAAATTGTCTTACAGTACTAATGCTCTTAGCCTTCTATTATCAAAAGCATAGTCAGTCAAAATTCAGCATGTGACCCTTTATCATTATTCCATTTGAGACACCCTGGTATATCACATTAGTAACGGATATGCTGACATACAGCAAGGCGTGTTTATTTTACTGATAAGATGCTGAGTGATAACACTTCTCTATCTGCAGGAGAAATGCCCATTCTGTCCTCTCTGCAGTCACACAGATCTATTTCTGTTTTGTTACTTAATCAGACTCAAGCTGTCTGCCTACTATAAATATAACTGGGAACAGGAGTCAAAGTGCACTTAAGTATAATATATATATATCTCCATGTAACCTGCTCATCTGCTATTTAAAGCACCAGAAACTATTTATAAATACTCAGAGCTTGTGCAGATTTGTCTAAAGTGATAATTCAATTTGTTTAAAACGAATAAACACTTCTGATTTGGACATGAAAGACAAAATGTAATGAAAACTAGAAGCTGTTATTGCCCCTGGCACTGGTGGGAAATGTTAATCATTAAATTGTTGTAACTGCCTGTGATGGGGTATTTAGCTTTCAATGCAACAGAACCATTTGAGCTGGTCTTGTTTTTCAGCAGACTTCGGTACTGCCGGGAAATGGGAGAAAGTCAAAGAAAATTGTCTGGTGTTCTCCTGACAGGTGCTGGAGTTTGTACTGTAAACCACGGTAGAATTTCAGCTCTATCATGTCACCTCGCATGACTAAGAAGGAATGTTCTGTATGCCTGTGCTCTCAGGTTAAAATATCAAGTGCCTGATGCTGAAAAAAGGCTGCCATAAATCAGGAAAAATTATCACAAGACACACAGCTCCCCTGGACACTTAGTGAATATTACTGCTGCTTTTCTTGACAATCTTTCTGGAAGAAAATATTGCCTACCCTTCTTTCCGTCATTATGCTGATTACAGAAATTAGGAAATTGCAGTTTATGTGCCTTTCACTCAGTATGACCTGCAGTCTGCCTTCTCCTGTGAGTGAAGGCCTATAGAGATTTAAAATAAAAAGGCAGAAAAGAGGCTCAATTCCTCATTTCCTCCCAGAATTCTCATTGCCAAAAAACAGAATTGGGTACAGTTCACATTGGACAAAGAAAACCGTCTCTTTTATGTGCCTTTAGTATAAGTGTCATAACCCACACGCTCTATGTAGAAAATTCCAAACAGTGTCGATCTCTGGAGAGGTCTTGTGCAGCCATGCAGATCATCCATCCATTTTCAGACTGGATGTTCAGAGTCTAGGGGGAGCTGGAGCCTATCCCAGCAAGCAACAGGCACAAAGCAGGGTACACCCTGGACAGGATGCCAGTCCGTCATAGAGCACACACAGACACAGACAGACTCAGACCAGGACCAATTTTCCTTGAAGCCAATTAACCTACAGTACCAATATGTTTTTGTTCTGTGGGAGGAAACTGGAGCACCTGGGGGAAACTCTTGCAAACCTAGGGAGATCATACAAAATCTGCACAGATAGCTGCAAGGCAGCAATGCTAACTGCTGTGCCACCATACTGCCCGCCAAAATTCTCCTTTGGTAAAATACTGCTCTCAGGCCTGAAGATCGTGACTGTCGAGATAAACTCCAGGCTATGCCACTGGCCAAGTGATGTGTTAGTGCTGCTTTGATTGGCTGATGTTAAGAGGGTTTTTCAGTAACCTCTGTCAGTAGCCAGGTACTGTACATGAAATAGGCTTTAGGGCTTTGTTGGTCCTCTGCATGGCATCAAAGCCATACAGTATGCAATAAGTTCAGGTGGGTAGCTGCATCAGCATGCATAGCCTGCAAAGGAACAAGTAATAGGTTTATTTTCATGCTGAAAAGAGAAGAGAGAAAACACAACGTTTTCGGCTGTGAAGCCTTCAGGTGTGCTCACACCTGAAGAAGGCTTCACAGCCGAAACATTGTGTTTTCTCTCTTCTCTTTTCAGTATGCAATCAGGGTTTGTCTGTTTAAAAAAAGCAGATTGCGTTAGGTAACATATGCTATGAGAGACAGGCAGTCTCTCACAGTGTAGATGAATACTCACATGCTTTCAAGAGATGCAGTCCTGCTAAGCCTCTTCTCTGAAACTGAGCAAATGAAATGTTCCTGTGAGGGCTCTTTATTAAGTCTCTTAGATATCCACCAAAAAAGCAATGGCCTTTCGTCACAGTATCATTGCGGTTAATCACAATAAAAAGGATTACTTACTCCCTGTTGCTTTATTACTAATATGGAGATGCTCAGGTGTTCTGTAACATAATTAAGAAGTTCTGGGAGTTGCTGAAACAAACAGTGAAAATGAGGAAGGTTTTTTCTTCACACTAACAAGGAGATCTTTCACATTTTTTGGGCCTGTTGCCTTATAGGATTTCCAACAAACCCCATATACAGTACGTATAAACCGAATGGGTTTAATCACTGAAAATCAAGATAGAACAAAGCTTGCATTTAATTCCTGTAAAAGAAAAGACTGTTTAATTCTGATTGATTTATTTGGCACTATGGACAGATACAGAGTAAACACAAGTTACTGAACATGATGATGTTTTAATGACTAAATCATGATGTGCAATTTATCTCCATGAAGATTAAACACATTCTCCGTGTAAAAGGGAAGGCTGATTCAAGCATGAGTCAGTTTAGTTACATTAAGAGAAATACAGAGAACTTTTATACTGTGAAGGTTTCTGCATTTGTAAGGTGCAGGTTACCAGATTAGGGAACAGCTGGGATTTTACAATTTCCTGGCAGTGTCCTGAGACGTCTGTGCTTGGAGGCAAGGATCGAACAACATACTGTAAGACAAAATTTCTTCTTGAAAGAAGACAAAGTATTGCTTCAACTACATAGCTGGGTAGGTCATTCCACACTCCCACCACTCTTTGTGTAAAGAACCACCTCCAGCTGTCCAGTTGTCGCTTTGTGTTTCACTGATTCCGATAAATTGATTTTGAATGTTAAAGTCATGGATAACCAGAGAAACACGAAACACAAATGGTTTCAACCCCCCTCTCTCCACCTTGATATAAAATTAAAAAGTAATCAGCTACAGTGATCAAATTTGTGTGTAGTACAACTCCAATTAAAACCTGTTTTTCCAGTTTTGCTGCCAACTTGAAACAATGCTCCATTTAGTTGTAAACATAAACAGTTCAGATATTTTAAGGATGAGAGAAGAAAATGATGAAAAGCATCAGCCGTGCCCTTCTATGTGTTGTTGACTTGAAATCTACTGTGGAAATGGACCGAGGTGCCCTTAAACACCGGACTGCCTTGGTGAAGTCTTCCCTGCGCTAACAGATTAGTGATATCCTTCCTGGTGCCTGACTCGGACCATTCCCTGGCAACTGAGAGCAACCGGACTCGCAAAACCCCCTGCTACCTCTGTTCTCCCAGAAGGGAAGGCTTTCAAATGACGAGAAAGTGGACAGAGGGAGATGTGTGGGACAGTGATGGAAAGAGACACGCATCAAGTTTGCTGAAATGAGAAAGAGGGAAACACAACGAGAGAAACATTAAAAACAAACATAGGGGTCTGCTCTGCTTTCCATTTCCAAGCCATCAGAACTTTGACACCTTTTAACCTTTTAAGAGGTTAGGACACCAGGATGAGGATAAAGGGGTTAGAAAACCTAATAATAATAATCGGTTACAGTTATATAGCGCTCAAAGCTCAAAGCTCACTTCACTCAAAGCGCTTTACAGGTAATGGGGACTCCCCTCCACCACCACCAATGTTCAGCATCCACCTGGATGAAGAGCTTAAGACACAAGGACAAGCATGAAAGGGTTAGGACACCAAGATAAAGTAATAT